GATGAACTGTTTACTAATGATGTTCATGTGCAGCGACCTTGCCTCTGAAGACGCCCGGGTCGTCGAGACCAAAGTAGTTCGTCTTCCTTCGGATGAGGGCGACCAAGACTCAAGTTGCTCCCTGTGATGCCCCGGTCGAAGGAGGTATGTTGGGAGCTCCGGTTGGACCTGCAGGGACTTCCCAGCCTTTGGTGGGAGCTCTGGTTAGACCTGCAGGGGCTTCCCAGCCTTCGATGAGCGCCTAAGCCCAATCTACGGGTACTCCTCGGCCATTGGCTGCTCGTCCGAGGACGAAGACAATGACTCAGCGACCAAAAAAGAAGAGAAAGCAAATCCAGGTCGAAGAGTCTGAGTCTAAGTCCGAAGGCAACCAGACTGGGGGGTCGCAACCACAGGCTGGGCAAAGGCTGGGCAAGGAAATGGTGGGCGACGCGACCTCTACTGGTGGTACCGGCAAGGACACTCTGGTGCTAGACACAATGGGGAGCCTGCCGGAGCACTTATAGCCGGTCGTCTTCACCCTTTTGGAGTGCGGACTGGCCGAGGTGCTCGAGGAGTTCGTGAACTCCAGCGAAGTGGACCTAATGTCCACATCACTCCAACACTTAAGCAAGGTAAACGAGCTATCCTTAGCAAGCTTTGTTGTCGCTATGCTACCTTCGATGTTAACTTTTGTTCTTTTTGTTCGCAGGCCGTGCCCTCCATGCAGCTATCCATGTAGAAGGTTCGGCTAGGAACTTCTGCGGGGGAGGTCACGCTAAAGGAAGAGAACACGAAGCTCAAGCGGGACCTCGAAATCACTATAGCAGAAAGAGAGCGATCTTCGGTAGAGGCAAAAGGGATGCGGCTCTTCGAACCTTGTATTTCCAAAAGTCTGAAGTCGAGAGGCATGTTGAGGAATCAAGAGAGCTGCAGAAGACAATTGCTAGGCTCACCGTTGAGGTCCGGGAGAAAGATCAGGAGCTCAACGCGACCTTCAAGCGAGCCTTGCGAGCAGAGCAGGACATGGAGGCCTCTGAGAAGCAAAAGCATGCTCTCCAGGATGAGCTCCAAGTTTGTCAGGGTAGACTTACTTCCTTGACCGAATAGATGCAGTATCAGGGAGTGGAGGCTGAGGAAAAGGCTGTTGAATGGGCGATCCAGTCCATATATGCCCTGCGGCCGAAGAATCTGCGACTTGATATGTCTGACCTGTCGGAGGACTAGAAAGAGATGCTTCTTTCCATGGCGCAGCTGAACGACAAGGATGTGGAAGAGGCCACCCGAGGGACTGAACCCGGAGGGACTTCGGCAAACCCTTCAAACCCTACAACTGACCAGCCCTGATGTGAGGTTGGGCCTTATGGAGTAGATCGAGAATTTTTTCCTTTTTATTTGCTCGCTGTACTTGGCGTGCTGTCGTAGGCACCTAGAATTAAAACCTTCCGAACCTAACTACTGAACTGTAAATAGGGTAAGCAAGGGTCGATCCCACGAAGAATGTCTAGCCGAATTTGATGTTATGTGAACAAAGCTGGGGGGTTTTGTGTAAAACAGAAAACGTTCTTAGCAAAAACCAAAAAAAACAAAAACAGTTCAATTCGAAATCAATTAATATAACGAAACTTGGTCTCCGTCAACATCCACCATCGGAATTCAGCAATGCTCCTTGATGCAAAAATAATCAATTCATACATTGAATATTCACCGTTGGAACTATTTTCCTACTCTCCTTAATTTAATTAATTAGGAAACAAGCGCTCTTAATTAATCTTACACTAAACAACCCTAGACAAGCGCTCAAGATTTAATCTAGTGGCAGCCTTAAGAATTAGAGAGTCGATGAAGCTAAACAACACAAACACAAGCGGTTGTATTTAATTTGTTGAATGTTCTTCATAAGGTTATTAATTCCTGACGCAGCAAATTACTAACCCTAATTGCTTCACAAGTTGGAGGGATCAAACAATTACGGATTTGATATCAAACTTACGGTAGATTTCAACAAATATACACTAGTGGCTCCCTAGTAATTAAATGCATCAATTATGAAAATATGCAGAATAACATTCAATACTCAAACACGAAATTGAACACTAAATACATAGATTAGATCTCACAGTTGGTTGATTCCGAGGTCTCCGTTTCCGAGACCAAGTTACAAAAGTTTTAGCCGCTCATGGCCATCACCAAAAACTAAGAGAAAGAAAATTCCAGAGAGGAAAAGATAGAGAGGCGTTGTCCCGAAACCTAATTGATCTCCCTTTTAAAATCTAATTTAAGAATTCAAATCCCACTCAATCTCCTAAAGAAATATTCTTATCGAAAATAAACATTAATCCTAATTTAATTCTAATTGGAATAAAATAAATAGAGTCCTAATAAAATAGGAAGGTGGTGTGTCCAGCTGTAACTCGTGGCCACATGTCTTCAAATCTTCCAATAATAAACTGCTCTTGGACTTGCATACAAGGCAGAATGTTCCAGAACATCGGCAGTGCAGATGTGTAACTTCCAGCCCAATTAAACCTTGATGCATCAAGTATCTCTCCAAACTCAAACATAAAAGTTGTAGTATATTTCTTAGCGTTCTACAGAATTTTGAATCATCTCAATCGGAGCTCAGATGAGAGAGTTATGCCCATACGAACAATGTCAAAACTGTCCGAATTCACTTAATTAGTTCCGTTTTGCAATTAACGCTCCCATTTGCTTCCTAAGTCAAAATAGAATAAAAATCAGTACATTTTAGGCAGCAAATAGGTATAAAAGACTAGGCATTAAGGGGGGTAAATATGACATTTTGCATTCTCATCAGTACTCCACATTAAATGAAATACATATTTGCTTTTACAATTGAGTTCGCATTATTACAATTTTCTTAACTGATCATTGGAACAAGTCTGCTGACATAATCATTATAAGTCTATTCGAGCAGAATTACATGATACAATTATTACAAAAGAATGACACTTGTTATTTACAAATAGAAAGATTATAAAAATATTTACAAGGAAAATGAGTTTGGAATTACTGATAATATGGTTGGAGATGTTCAACATTCCAAGCTCGAGGCACTTTGGAACCATTCAGCTGTTTGAGATGATAAGTCCCTGGTCTTATCACTTCGACAATGCGATACAGAACTTCCCAGTTCGGCCCTAGAACTCCCACACTTGGTTCTCTAGTGCTGAGAAGAACTTCCTTCAAAATAAGGTCGCTGACCTGGAAGTCTCTTCTTCTAACCTTAGCATCGAAGAACCTCTTCGCGCGCTGTTGATAGGCCGCTATTCTCATCTAGGCCTTGCTGCGATGTTCCTCAACTAGGTCCAGACTTGCGCACATAAGCGCTTCATTGTTTGCTTCATTGTATAGGTCCCTCCAAAGTGAACCAGTTCCTACCTCCACAGGGATCATCGCTTCGCAGCCATATGCTAGCGAGAAGGGAGTTTCTAAGGTAGAGGTTCTCGGGGTTGTTCTGTAGGCCCACAGTACTTCAGGGAGGTCGTCGGCCCAATTTCCCTTGGCTGCGCTAAGCTTGACCTTCAGAGTGTGGTTAATGGTCTTGTTGACGGCTTCAACTTGACCATTTGCTTGCGGTCTTGCGACGAAGGCAAACTTTTTGTGAATACCTAACTCATCGCAGAACTGCTTGAACTAATCATTATCGAATTGTTTTCTGTTGTCGGATATAAGGGTATGAGGAATTCCGTAGTAGCACACGATGTTCTTAAAGACGAAGTCCTTGAGCTTTCTAGTCGTGATTGCGGGTAATGGTTCGGCTTCCACCCATTTGGTTAAGTAATCCACCATGACCACGGCATATTTTACCCCCCTTTTACTAACCGGCATGGGGCTGATGAGATCGATCCCCCACATGGAGAACGGCCAGGGGCTGGTCATAGTTGTCAGCTCGTGAGAGGGGGCTCACGGTATGTTTGAGAACCACTAGTATTTATCACACTTTTTGACAAAGTTGTACGCGTCTTCTTGGATCAGGGGCCAATAGTACCATTGGCGAACAACTTTGTAGGAGAGAGATCGTGCGGCGGTGTGATTACTGCAAATCCATTCATGTATCTCTCTTAGGATGTAATCTGCCTCTTCGCTGTTTACACATCGGAGGAGAGAGGCATTAAACCCTCACCTGTACAGCTGGTCTCCGATGAGAGTAAAACGAGCAGATCTTGTTCGGACGGTTCTTGCCTTGACCTTGTCGTCTGGCAATGTCCCATCTTTGAGATACTGAATAATAGGGGTCATCCATGATCTTGACTCTGTTATATTCACGGCCTGTTCAATCGGCCTGATACCAGGGATCTCGATGAATCAAACAGGAATGCTCTCTGGTGCATCCGAGTCCAATGATGAGGCTATCTTTGCCAAGGCATCTGCCACAGAGTTGCTATCTCTAGGGATCTGTGTGATCGTGAAGTGCTTGAATGGCTCGAGTGCGGCCTTAGCTTTCTCCAGATAGCTGATCATGTTTTCCTCCTTGGCTTGATACTCCCCCAGAATTTGGTTAATGACCAGCATGAAGTTACTATGGACATTGATCGCGGTTGCACCCATCTCCCTGGCCAACCGTAGTCTAGCGAGCAGAGCTTCATACTCGGCCTCATTATTGGTTGCTTTGAAACCGAACCAGAGAATGCCATGAATGCGAGCCCCTTTGGGACTCAATAAGAGAAGACCCGCCTCGACCCTCTTCTTGTTTGATGATCTGTTGACGTAGAGGGTCCAGGTTGAGAGATTTTGCACAGTTTCTTGGATGACTTCGCTGGGCTGTTCCGACTCGTTCACTGGATGATGCGAGAACTCTGATATGAAGTCGGCAACAACCTGCCCTTTGATAGTTGCTCTCGGTCTGTAATGGAGATCGAATTGACTGAGTTCCATGACCCATTTGAGCAATTTACCTGATGTCTCTGGTTTTTGAAGAACCTGCCTGAGCGGGAAGTTGGTCATTACATGAACTATGCGGGCATAGAAGTAAGGTCGCAACTTTCGGGAAGCGATCAATGGGGCATAGGCTAATCGCTTCATTTTCGGATACCGCATCTTGGCATCCAAAAGACGCTTGCCCGCGTAAAATACTGGCCATTGCGTTCTGTTCTCTTCCCGGATTAAGGATGCATTTTGGTTTATGCAATGCACCTGCCACTTTTCAAATATGCATGATGTCCATCTTTCATGATATGGTAGAGGAATTTCTGGAAATTTTTATGGATGATTTTTCAGTTTTTGGTTCTTCTTTCGATGCATGTTTGAATAATTTGGCTTTAGTTTTGCAGAGATGTGAAGACACTAACCTAGTTTTAAATTGGGAGAAGTGTCATTTTATGGTGCAGGAAGGAATAGTTTTGGGTCATAAAATCTACCAAAAAGGGATTGAAGTGGATAGAGCAAAGGTTGAAGTGATTGAAAAATTACCTCCACCTACATCAGTGAAGGCTGTGAGGAGTTTCCTTGGACACGTAGGATTTTACAGAAGATTTATTAAAGATTTTTCTAAAATTTTAAAGCCTTTGTCTAATTTATTAATTAACGATACTCCTTTTGATTTTAATGCTGAATGTTTGCAGGCCTTCCTCACTCTGAAGGAGAAGCTTATCACTGCACCAATTATGGTGGCACCCGATTGGAGTTTGCCATTTGAACTGATGTGTGATGCTAGTGATGTAGCTATTGGTGTTGTCCTTGGTCAAAGAAAAAAACAAGGTATTCCAAACTATACAGTATGCTAGTTGGACCTTAAACGTGACTCAACAGAATTATGCAACCACTGAAAAGGAATTCCTAGCAGTAGTATTTGCATTTGACAAATTTCATTCATACCTTGTTTTGAGTAAAGTGATTGTCTACACTGACCATTCGGCCTTGAGATATTTACTTGCTAAGAAAGATGCCAAACCTAGGTTAATTAGATGGATCTTGTTGTTACAAGAATTTGACCTAGAAATTAGGGATAAGAAGGGTGTAAAGAATGTGGTTGCTGATCATCTGTCTAGGATAGAGGACACAAATCCTGAAATAGGAGATGAAATACCAATCAGAGAAGAGTTTCCTGACGAACAGTTATTTGCCATTCTAAATGCATATATTCCATGGTATGCACAGTATACAAATTATATTGTCACAGGTGTTCTTCCTTTAAATCTTACTTTTCACCAAAGAAAGAAATTTTTGTCTGATGTTAAGCGTTATTTGTAGGAAGAACCATATTTGTTCAAAGCTTGTGCAGATCAGAATATTCGACGATGAATGCCTGAGGAGGAGATGACATCCATTGTACATCACTGCCATGATAGAGAGGTAGGTGGCCACTTTGGGCCAACCAAGACAGCTGCAAAGGTACTACAAGCAGGTTTTTACTGGCCTACGTTGTTTAAGGATGCTTATGCTTATGTTGCATCTTGTGATAGGTGCCAATGAACAAGGAATATATCTAGGAAACATGAGATGCCCTTGAACAATATTATTGAATGTGAATTATTTGATGTTTGGGGGATAGACTTTATGGGAACTTTTCCTACTTCATTTTCTAATAAATACATTCTTGTGGCAGTCGACTATGTTTCTAAGTGGGTGGAAGCTGAGGCACTTAGGACAAATGATACTAGGGTGGTAGTTAAATTTTTAAAGAAACATATTTTTATTAGATTTGGCACCCCTAGGGCAATTATTAGTGATGGTGGGATGCATTTTTGTAATAGACAGTTTGATAATCTTTTGAAAAAATATGGGATCACACATAAGGTTGCCACTCATTATCACCCACAAACTAGTGGCCAAGTAGAGGTATCTAATAGGGAACTGAAACAAATTTTAGAAAAGACCGTTACCTCTAGAAAAGATTGGTCTTTGCGATTGGATGATGCATTGTGGGCATATAGAACAGCTTTCAAAACCCCCATTGGTATGTCCCCATATAGACTAGTTTTTGGGAAAGCATGCCATCTCCCTGTTGACCTTGAGCATTGTGCATATTGGGCTACAAAATTTCTTAACTTTGATATTCAAGTTGTAGGTGAGAACAGGTTGCTGCAATTGAATGAGATGGATGAATTTCGGAGTCATGCTTATGAAAATGCAAAGCTCTATAAAGAGAGAACAAAAAAATGGCATGACAAGCATATCACGAAAAGAGAGTTCGTCGAAGGGGAAAGGGTGTTGCTCTATAATTCTAGACTCTGACTTTTTCCAGGTAAGTTAAGTCTAGATTGTCAGGACCTTTCACAGTCACCCAAGTGTTTCCTTCTGGTGCCATTGAAATTTCCCATAAGGAGAAAGGCACTTTCAAGGTGAATGGACAACGTCTCAAGCATTATGAAGATGGAGGATGGAAAAATGATAAGATCCATGGCATTGCATGAACCAGAATAAGCAAGCGTAGAAAGTCAAGCTAATGACTCTAAATTAGAACTATAAAATTTTTTTTTTGTTTTTTTTGTTTTTTTTTTGTTTTCCTCTCTTTTCCCTAGTTAGTAAATACGGGTACGGAAAAAAAACGGTACGGGAATTTTACGGGTATGATACGGCAAATGGTGAAAAATACGTTTGTAAAAATTCGATCATAAAATTCGGATTCGGAAAAAATACGATTCGGATATATACGGGTTTAATACGACACATTGTCAATAATACGTTTTAAAAAATACGGCAATAGCATTCTTGGTTTTAGCACTTTTCAAAACATCCTGATTTAAATAATCCATTGTGGTCGACCCTACAATTTATTTTTCTTTTTATTTAAAGTATATTTGAACAATAACTAAGACCAGTATTTTTATCCGTAATTTTATAGCTATGCATACAAAATTTGGATTCCAATTAGTATAGTTGTTTTATTTTCTGAATTTTATGTTCTGAATTTAATTGGACAGTGCATTCAAAGGTCAAATAATAATAGTGTTATGAAATCTAAAAACATGACAGAGTGCATATGGGTTACAATTTGCAGTTGGCGTTGTTTGCAAGTGATGGTTTGTTGTTTTTTTCTTCTCTTTAAGTATTCTGCCAATTCCAAATCCAAGCCCGACAATATTATTTTTATGAATTCTTGCTTTTCTTTTGCAGTTTTACCTTTACCTTTTGCTTTCATAGATGATCTTTAGTTTTTTCATTTTGACCCATACAACACAAAACAAACGAAAATGAAATTATGTTAAAACAGATATCAATATAACTCTCACAAGCATTTCATCAAACATGTTTAAACAAATCTATCAATCCACCAATATAACAAATCACACTCCACCAGCCCCTATTACTACTACTCCACACCAGCACAAACACAAACAAATCACCAACATACAAGATTCAAAGAGAGTTAAAAAGAGAAGAGAAGAAGTGTGTAGCTGGGCTTGAAGAGCAAAGCGGACTTAAGCTTGGAGAAGATAGTTAAAAGAGAAAGAGAAGAGATCAAGACTCAAGAGTCAATAGATGAAGAAAAAAGAGTGATTGTGAAGATTTGAAAAGAGATGAAGACTGTGGAAGAGAGAACCGAGGAAGATGAAGGAGATTTCTTTAATTTTAGTCAAACCCAACCAAAACGACGTCGTTTTGCCTTTATATTAATTATTTTTTTGTTGCAAAAATTCGCGTATAATTCACGAATATACGGATAGGGTATATAATCACGAATATACAGCAGCTCAATAAATACGTGAATTCGATTTATATGGGAATTATACGGCTAGCCGTATAATTGGTTAAAACGCGAATTTACTAACTGGGCTCTTTTCTACAATTCTTTTATTTTTGTTTAATTGGTTTAATATTTATTTTGTGTGTTATCGCAGAACGAGGAACAAGTTTAGGGGAAGTTTACGTGATAGAAGAAGAAGACAATTTCAAGCAGACTAGAACACAGGGTACCCTGTGTCACTTACATAGTTGTGGCTTCTTCAAAAACAAAAAAAAAAAAACAAAAAAACAAAAAAAAAAAAAAAAAAAACAAAAAAAAAAAACCTTAAGCCTCGCATCAGAAGTGTCAATGATTGCTGCTCATTCGTGGAGCCACATTTGACCACCTTATGAGCCCAATTCTAGTAGTTTTGTCCTCTCACTTAAGGGAAGTTTTTGTCTCTCATTTTCCATTTTTTTGTTTTTATTCTTTTTGTTTTTCATGCACTGAGGACATTGATCCTTTAAGTTTGGGGGAGTGGACGGTTTGGTTTGTGTTGCATTGTTGATGGGTTATTTCGTTTGTTTGGTGCGTTTGTTTTTAGGAAGTGCTTAGTTGTTTGTGTTTTTTTTTTTTTTGTTTGGTTTGTATTTAGTATTTGTTGTATGGTGGGTAGTATGCTTATGCTGTGATACAATCCAGAATGAAACTTTGTGTCTTACAACATGCAAAACTAGCAAGTGCACTAGTCGCTCAAGTATAAATGATGGGTAGGAATCGTTCCCCGAGGATTGTTAGCAAAGCACTAAGTTTCCTAACATTATCAAGTTGAAGCAATCGAATTCTTTGGATTGGTGGGAGCAAATTTTAATTAAAAACAACAATGAAATTAAACAAAGAGTTAAAACTAATAAAAAACAAAATGAAAACACGGAATATCTATTCAAGCAAACGGGTAGGGTTTTGACTTCGTTTGGATTTTTATGGGAACCTAAAAATTACACTATATCACATTCATGCGCAAGGTTGTAAATCGAATTCACTAATATGTTAAACATACCCTCTGGGCTATGTTTCCTATTCACCTTATAACCTTCCGCACCAACAAATTGAAAGTTAATAATTCTAAACTCATTAAGCATAAGAATCCTAAATTGATTTCATAATTCTTGAATCTATCTCTAGCATCCAAACTAAATGGTGATTACCCAAGAATCCTAACATGAATTATTTCTCAATCTCATCATGTCATCACATACAGCATTCATCTTTAGAGTAACACCCACCCAAAGCATATTCATATGAAAATAACACAATCAAACACTTAACCCATTTAAATCCAACTACAATCAAAACCCTAACAAAATAGGTTAGTTCATAGCTAAATTAATAACACAAAAACGAAAAACGGAAATAAACGAATTCAGCATAATGAAACTGAGATGAAAGATAAGAAATCTCCCCAAAAGACAAATCTTTTCGTAAATCCGAATCTTCTCCCTTTAACAAACCAAAAAGCTCAAAGTTTTACTCTCCAAAATGTAAAAATAGCTAACCCTAAAAAGATCAAGGCCTTTGGGAAAAAGGCTAAGTTTTTCTATACTTAGTCCAAATAACCCAGCCAAAACATGCACAACACGAAACTATGCGTTTAACAAAACTGAATAAATTGACTGTGCCGCGGCAAAGAATGAAGAAATCTCAATCGTCTCTGGCTTACTTCACCGCGGCGAAGAAAATTCCTTCACCGGGGCGAAGCTCCTTGAAAAGTTTTGAAATTACAGAATTCACTCTGCTTGCTTCTTCGTTCGATTCTTCGATTCTCGACTTCTTTCCTTGGGAACAAGCTTCATCGTGCTTTGTCCTGCTCCGGAACTCTCCTATCTTCTGAGATCCGCTAATTTCTGAGTCAAAACTATCCAATTTTGTCTTATTTGCTCAAAAAGTCCATTTTAACCTGAACACAGAAAGTAAAGAATTAAGCAACAATTCAGGTCAAAATGCACTAGAAAGTACCTGAAATCCAACAAAAGGATCTAATAAAAACTGTATAATTTATGGATTATCAACTACCCCAAAAATAAAGAGATGCTCGTCCCGAGCATACAGTACAAAACTAACGAAAACATAGACACAAACAAAACAAAAAAAATGAAAAACACACACAACAAAACTGAAAAACAAAACCAACAAAACTCAAATTCCACAGTGATTGCCTAGAAATTGCACGTCTTTTAAAATTGTTGAAAAATTATTATCAGGAATGTTCGACACTCAAGAAGTTATAAGCTACATCGATGTCTTCCTCATCGGTCCACCAAGTAGGTGATCCCCACTTCAATCCACATTCCAACTTCTCGGATTATTTATGCAAAAATTGTAAAGTTTATAAATGGTGGCAGACTCCATAAGCCTAAATATCGAACTACTCTCCACAATGAGGACTAAACACAGATGAGAATCAAGGTCTTTAAAAGCTTGTAATGTTAGGCTCGGGTCATGGGCTCCAATAAAGGATAGGAAACAAGTAAGAGAACTCGGTTGTCCTAAAGCAAAACTAAAACACATCGAAACCCACACTTTCTCAACACCAATCGACATGTCCACTAATTCACAGCCTTAAACGGTATCTTTAAAAACTTTTGGATACCATAAAGCAGGGGAGACTCGTTAAGGTGTACGTGGCGTTGTTAAACCCGAGGTCGCCAAATACTGCTAGGCAGTTTTTAAGGCGGGTTCTGGTTTCCAGCGGTATACCCCTAAACTAGGCAGCATTGGTGTGTGTGTGTTTTTTTTTTTTTTTTTTAAACACATCAATTGAATGAATTGAGGTGACTACCTCCTTTGTTTTATTCTTTCTCTCAACCCCCACATCATTCTTTTGGTCTCTTCTTCATTTTCTTCTCTTAACCCCAAATATTCTTTTGCTCATTTGTACACTGTTTCGTTCTTTGTTTTGCACTAGGACCGAATTCTCCTAAGGGTACAATAAAGGTTTAGGGCAAAAGGATTGACAACTTTTGTTGTTTTCCAAGAAAAATAAAACAAATTCATATGGCTCAATGGTGACTGGGAAATATTCATGGGGTCGGTAGAAAGGCTCAAACATTCCGAAAAAATGCCTAAATCATCTCCTAACCATGTCTAATCCTGAATTTCACCTCAAGCATTTCTCAACTAGTGTCTAGAGTCCACCACATTATCAAGACTTTACCTAATCGCGTAAAATGAATCTAAGCATGCTGAAAAAAATGAAATGGTGGTTGAACCACTCAACAAACCTCAATCAGAATCCAGTCAATAAACATAAACTGAAGCAAACTTAACATTTCTCAACAAAAAATTCAACAATCCTATTCTCATCATTGATTTATCAACTTATCGGCAAAAACGAAACAACCAACAGAAAACAAAACAAAAATAAATTTATTTTTTTTTAATTTTTTAATTTTTTTTTTATGTAGTTTTCAGCAGTTTAAGGTGTACGTGGCGTTGTTAAACCCGAAGTCGCCAAGTACTGCTAGGCAGTTTTTAAGGCGTTACTGGTTTCAGCAATATACCCTTAAAC